AGCGGCTCCTTGTTCAAAGAGGGCAAAAATATGGAGGGTGTTTTCGTTTTTGATTTATGGAAAAAAAACAAAAAAAAAAAAAAAAAAAAAAAAAGAGACAGACATGGTGGAACGTAAGGGAAACAAAATATTGGTTTGCATAAGCAACATTATGAATGAGGAATAAATAAAAATTCACGAGATTCTAATCCCAATAAATGCCACACGGTGGTGCTGGCATCATGATTTGTCTAATTTTTACTGTAAGTGGGTAATGTTGCACAAACATACATAAAAATTTTAATAATACCAGTGACTTTTACATGTAAATAAAGAGAATGTGTTTGGGACAATAGCATAAGAACAAACACATAATTATTTCCACCATAGCAGCTATTTAAGGTACAGAGGGGATGGGCAATGATTATATTATTTCAAAGGTTATTGTAATAAGAGTTAGTCATCCTCGTGTATTAATTACAATCTTTAAATGAGGCTTGCAAAATCCGAAAACAGAATGGGACTGTAGGAACCCAACTAAACTCCTGAATGTAACTGGCCCAGAGAATGATTCTGCTTTCATGATGCTCTGATTGTATTAGCTAAAGAAAAAAAACAACAAGGGAGGCTACAGGAAACACCAGGTGCGTACAGCAATCGGGAGAGGTAACAGTGTGACACATACCCGTCTAACTTCCCTTTGGTCCCGTCCAGCACCTCTACGTTGTGCTGGTCTGGAAAGCTCCAGTTCACACTGGACTCCTTGGTCTTGCCTGTGTGCCTGGTGGAGTCGTACACACTCACTCTGCCCACCTTTAATTCAACAGGGAGTTAAAAAAAAAAAGGTTTGGATGTAAACTAAATTACAACAATAGCTTGGCAGTCTTGGTTAGACATGGAGAAACAACACAACTTTAACTTGTTCGCTCAGCACAATTAGGAGTATAACAGTCAATGTAAAATCAATAATAAAAAAGATGCAAACAGCCTAACAGATTGTTGCATGTACTATTTTAATGGCACTCCTGGTAAAGATGTGTGAAGAGGCTTAAAGTAGATGTATCTTTTTACAGAAATATAACTGTGAAAATTAAAGAAAAAAAAAGCAACCTATAGTGAAGTACTTTTATTTACTGGGGGGGGGGAAACATCCCGTGTTAAGAATCAATTGCTAAAGTCACCAGGGGAATAATTATTTGTACCTCTAACAACACTTTCAATACAAAGTAAATAATAAACATTTTTTTGTGATGCTTTTCTTTAAGCTGATTAGAGTTTCTAGGAACTTTTAGTTGCTGAGTTCATACTCCATTTTTCACTGGGAGTACAAATATGTGCATGATGTGACAAAGAGGGCCGTTTCTCTAAGCCACTGGCAGTCAGGAGGGAGAAAAGGTTACCAAGTCTCCGAGACAATTAAGGCACAATCTAGATCACAAGTGGTTGACTGGGAGACATAACGGAGAAAACCATTTTCCATTCTACCATCACAAACATAAAGATGCTAAGGACCGCTTTGAGCACTCAGCTTTTCCTCTCCAGGTGGCTCTGGCGAGAAACAATGGATGAATGTGAACAAAAGCCCCGCAGGGCTTAGAGAGCTGAAGAGGAAAGTGTCAGAGATGATCTGTGGAGATCGTGTTAAGAGGAACGGTCAGAAGTCCCTCAGTGTGCATCTTCCAGCCTTATGAAATGTATCGGCACAAAGCAGAATAAATTAAAATAAAAGGAAAAAAAAACAATCCTTCAGAGTTGAACTTTAACTGACCCGAGACGCATCCATTGTTTCCAGTTCAGTCTCATATTTGACATTCTGAATACACGGCGTGTTTTTCCTGACCTTTTTGAGAGGCAAGTTAAAATCTGTTTTCATTTCATTCCTAGATCCCATCTAGCTGCACTTCCTTTGAATTATCAAATTTGTTTACAAGATTTTTATGTTTACTTTGAGTTTATGACAGAAAAAAAATGCTGATAAAGCACTTAGTTTCCTTTCTAAAAAGCAACAAATAAAGAGATTTTAATTTAATTTCTAAGAATTGAATTATATTTATTTTCGTCACTCTGGAGAGGGCATTCTACATATAATTCAGGTTTTTAAGGGCAAAACCTTCTTTCCATCTTATTCCATGGGATGCAAATAAAAATATTTTGCCTAACTATTAACAGTGAACATTGATGAACAATGTTCATTCAAAAATTAAAAAAAAAAAGCTGTTAAAAATGCTTTAACGTGTCTTTCCCTCAACTGTTGAATAAATGCACTAAAATTAATTTTCTATTTCTCTTTCTCAGATTATACCACAGCTATAAAATATTCATTTATTTTGAGTTTTAAAAACATTCAGGGGTGCCAATAGATGTGGGGTGATAGTTAATTGTTAATAGTGGAGCCTATTAGATCTTAATTGATATGTATGACAGGCTCAGCAAACAGAAGGATGCAAGTGATGAGTTTAACTGCCAGCTACTGGATTTTGGACTTTTTTTTTCCTGGCAGCACAACAGGAACCCTTCTGCTTTTTGTTAATTGATGGATGAGACCCATTTACATGCGACGAACAATGAAAAACAGCTGTGAAGGCACAAATAGGAGAGCTGGCAGCTTAATGAATTAATTTAGTGAGAATGACCTCCGTGTTTCTGATTTATGTCTGTGTCCTGACTTTGAGAACAACTTGGATACTCACCTCCGGGTGGTTCAGGGTGAAGGGAGGAGGGAGACTGTGGGAGAAGGCTTCGCCGTCCCTGGCCAGCCGGCAGCAGACCGCACGCGTCAGGTGACCATGGCTGTACAGATAGCCTGTCATGATGGAAGACATAAATCTGTCAGAGTGGGCGTATTCTGACTTACTGCTAAACCTTACAAATAGTTGTCTGAGACGGTGACAATCGTCGTCCAGCAGCATGACTTACCCAGGGTGATGGACTTTAAGTAGATAGGATGCAAGAAATGAGAGAGTAGTGCCCCCTGCAGGCCCAGCACGTTCCAGCGCAGAATCTTATCACTGCAGCTCATGGTGCGCAGCCTTTCACCGTGCTGGATGCCGTCCCAGGTGGGGACAATGGCACTCGACTCCACTGGGATGGTCCCCTCACCTGCACACAACGAGAGAGAAGCTGCATCTCTTCCAAACAAACCAGAAGCAGGGCTTCGATATGAATAAAATGCCTTAGAGTAGATATGAAAGGGCTGTGGCTGCCTGTTAAAACAGCATGTTTCCACCTTTAATTTGACAAATGACCTGTACAGCTGAAGTCAAACACAAACTGAAATCTTCTAGGGGTAAAACAAAGAGCAAAGAGCTCGGCTAATGCGACAGCATAAATTTAAACGCCCCCTGTGCTCAGAATAATCCAAAACAAACTTGAGCCACTCTAGAAGGTTTTCCTGACATTTACTTTGTTGCACCTCTGAGAAAATGCTGTGATCTGGAAAGAGCCTCTTAAGCATCAAAGGGATTTTAGTGTCAAAAAAGTGTCAGTCAGGAGAAAGGAATAAGAGAATTTCCAAAGCAAAATATACAACACCGAACAAACTTAATGTAGTCATGAAGAGGAAAACGTATATTGCCAATTATATTGCCAGGAGCTGGACACCCAACCAAAACCGATGAAAAAACTGCATGTAACTGTATCCCACAACAATATAGAAGACTTCTTTGAAACCAAAACTGCCAAGCAAGGCTAAATTCTGCAAAGACATATGGGAAATGTAGTGTGACCTGATAACACATTTTAGCCATGATTCCAAAAAAAGCATGTTTGGCACAAAAACAACAAAACGGCACACAGCCACAAGAGAATCGTGGTAGTGAAAGAATCGTGCTTCATGGGCGATTTTCTGCATCTAGAGTGGGAGCCTGCAGTAAAGGTGAAATGAATCATGAAAAGTTTTAAATACCAACTGAAGGTGCAAACCTTCAGTATTGTGCTTGGAAGCTGAAAACGGACTTCATCCTTCAGCAGAAAATCTAATTTAAAAAATGGCTACATCAGAATAACATTGAATATTTCGAACGGACCAGTCTGAGGCGAGCTCTTGTTGCGAGCGGAGACATACCACAGCAATAGAGGTCTACACAAACAGGGAGTATTCAGGAATTAGTTCTGTTGGACTTGTTTTTAACACCACAAAAACCTGGTAAGTTAACTAGAGCAGACTTTTTCTGTCCACTGTAGCTTCCCACGTAGTCCGTTTCATTTTGCACTTTTGTCTCACCATTCTCCACTTTAGTACGAAGTTTGCCCTGCTTTGCATTCTCAAAAAGCGGCTTGTGGCCCTCGATTTCATCTCCTGCCTCACTGCACGACTTATCGAACAGAGCTCCGTCCCCACAAGGTGCCGTGCTGTGCAGGAAAGGACAGAAAAAACATTAACCAAAGTTAAGAGGCATTCAGAATGAAACACAAACGTGCCAGACTAAAAAGGCTTTGGAAGATGTCCTGACCTGATGTAGAGGTGAAAGGTAATGTCAGGTTTGATCTTGAGTTTGTTTTCCTCTGCGGGCTCAAAAATGCTGTCGTCTGCTCCATCGTAGTGCTTGAGCAGCTCGCTGTACAGAAACCTGAGAAGAAAGGAGATGGCGGGTTACATCTCAAAATAAAGTCACGCAGGCTGGTTCTGGGAGAGGAGAGCGTATTTTTAGAAATGAGGGAGAAACATCAATGAAGAAGCATGGTATCAATTTCTACCGTATAAATCCTCTCCTGGAGATGATTTCAGCATGGCAGTCATTTACTGTCTCCCCTTTGAGGCTCAGCTCCTCCCCTTTAACGCAACGATTTCCTGATAAAAAACAAAAAAAAAAAACATTCAGTGTCAACCAACACGACAACCAAAACGCCTCTCAGTTCTTCTGTGACCCAGTTCTGTCTTATTTGTTACACTAAATTCCTCTAAGCAAAGAATAAACAGACAAAACAGGCAAAAATGCAGGGACAACATTTTGTTTACATCCAACCCGACGATTGTTATGGGTCAGGGATTTACCAGTTCCGAGGCTGACGACAGTTCCCAGTCCCTCCCCTCTTCTCATGACGATGGTGGCCAGAATCTTGCGTCCCAGAAGGCTGTGCTGGATGCGGGTGGTCAGGGCGTTGAAACGCTGGTGGCTCAACATGGCTATCTGGTCGTGCAAAGTGCTGCCACTTACTGGTAGCTGGAAAGAAAGAAAGAAACTCAGCTATTTAAACTATAGGTTTTTCTACATGTGATTCATTTCTTGTGTATTGAAGACACACACACGCACGCAACCCATTAACCTACTTCAGACAAATTATTTTCAGGTTATTTACACATCTTTGCTTCTCCTGTGTAGAAATCTGTGAATATGATTCATTCACTTACAGTGCAGACAAAGAGAATACAATCAGGTAGGCTTAAAAAAAGTAGATGCAGCCTTTACTTGAATAGGCCACATTAGAAAATCTATTTACAGTATGTCAACAGGCATTACATCCCTTTTGGCAACCGGTCTTCTGTTTGGTCATTTCTAGTGGTTCCATGTGAAGCTGTAACCACATTCATATGGCAAGGTTGTGCAATTAACAGTAGGTCATTTATTTTTGCAGATTATGCGGTTTCTGAATGTAACTAAGCAGCACAACATTCATCATTAATGAAGGAAAACAAGATTGATCCTAGCCACACTTAAAGTGTCACAGTTGTGTTGAGCTACCGATTTTCCAGTGATGACTAATCCTTGGCATCCTTCTGATGTTAACTGGGTTATCGGCACATGCGGTAGCCAAAGAAATAACTGCAGAACCAGATCTGCGATAAGAATTCTGAGTCATCAAAACTAATTACACCCTAACGCGTTAGTTTCTGGTGAAACTGATAGTATGGATGTGTCTGCACAAGTCTCAGCACCACTTTTTATAAAGTCAGTCAAAGCATTAAGCTGCAAAGGGGATGACAAGATTTACTTTTCCACCACACTATTTTTTTTTTTTTTACATTTGGCCTGAGGCGTAATCACGGGTGGGAATGTATTGCCTGGAAGATTCCAGTGTGTTTATGACAACAAGGTTCAGTATAAACCTGAGGAGGAGCACAGGGCAGAGGGTTTGAATCAATTCTCTTCATAAAGTAAAATTATTGTGTGTGTATAAAGTTCAATTACTAAAGTGATTAAACTCATTCACATTTATCTATTAAGTGTACTTTTATATCAGAAGTCAACACTGTATATTTTACATTCTCATAACAGTTTCCAAGTTGAACAATTATAAACTATCCATTAAAGAACAAATGAAAAGTTTAGCAAGTTATTCCCCACCCCGGTATTGTGGGTTAATGTATTTAATTTTGAAAGAAAGAAGTCAAATTCTGCACAACTTGCTTTTGTTTCTATAATCCAATGATTATAGAAACAAAAGCAAGTTGTGCAGAACTTGACTTATAAAAACAAAACTTGCTTTTGTTTCTATAATCATTGGATTATAGAAACGAAAGCAAGTTGTGCAGAACTTGACTTCTGCACAACATCACAGGAGTTGATGTTGGCTCAATATCAACTCCTGTGAATCTGGAGAAGATTTTTTTTTTTTACTTTTGGGCTCAATAATTTATGTGTCCTAATTGTAGATACCTCAGTTGGGATTAGCTCTCCGGTGCGTGCTGCTCTCTCAGCTTCTCCAATCAAAACCCGCAGCGCCGCGTCTGCAGCTTCCTGCTTTCCCTGCTTCTTGTTGGAGGCACAAACTGGAGGAAACCACCGGCCGCCCAGCTTTGCCTGGTAGGTAAACCTGAGCAGGGAGTAGAGACAATAAGGAGAACCTGTCAAAGTCCTATAAAGAAATACGTATATAACTAAGCATAGATCTAAGAAAAGAAAAACTACATTCTCTGATTGAATGTTTTTTAAAGCTTTTAAAAATTGAAAACAAAAAACATTTGCACTTACTTAGGATCATGTGGAGGTCCAGACTGGCTCACCAGGCGGATCTCAGCAGCAAAGCCCCGAGCTCTGGCGTATTCCAACAGACCTGACACGGCGTTGTTGTTCAGGTGATTGATGAGGTCCCCGACCCCTGCCTCATGGGCAGCTTGCAACTCACTCGCAGTTAGAGGAGGCAACGAAGGACAGGTTGCTCTGAAAGCACCTCCGTCTCCTTCAAAGGACGGGCCGAGGGGCAACTGAGGCTGTAAGAAACCAGAGAGAAATGAGGGGCGAGGCCGAGGAGATGTGAAAGAGTCGGCAAGGGGAACAGGTTTCATCATATCCTTAATAAATATAGTTTATTACAGTGTTTGGTGCCTTATAAAGCAACTATACCCCTCAGAGCTTTTCATTGCACCATCTAGAAATTTCAGTGTTTTTGACTGTGATTTTATTCAACAGACTCAGAAGAAGAGGTGCATGAAAGAAATGACGCATGATTTTAAAGATCTGAGAAGTGTGGTGTGCATTTACATTTATATCATGGTGTAGAAGCCACTACCTGTAGAACAACAGCCTCGAGGCATTTATTTTAGTATGTCTCTATGAGGTACGCACATCTAGAGAATGAAGTGTTGCATCATTATTCCTTCAAAATACCGTATGGAAAGTGTCCTATGAAAGATTCTCAGCTCTTCAAAGCGGCTCTGGTTACATGTTTGGGGATGTTGTCCTGCACAAAACCAGCTTGTGGCAACATCTAACTGGTTTTCTCCCAGGACTTTTCTGGATTCAACCGGTTAACTTCCATCAGCTGTTGGAAGTTATACATTTTTCCACCAGAGTGGATGCTCTCTATAACTCTTCCTGGGTGCTTCTACAGAAAAGCCCATGTAGGTTTGCAGTTGTTCAATTTTTTTTATTTTCAGATGGCAGACTGAACAGTGGTGTACAGGACATTCAAAACTTCGAAACTGTTTAATAACCCTCCCCCCCCTGATTTTAACTTTTCAACAACTTTATGAGAATAATAATATGAGGTCTTTAACATCCTGTATTTATTACCTTGCTGACTTGCAGTTTTCCATCAGCCATTAACTCTTTAACCGCCTCCTCTGCTGCCAGCTGACGTGCTGCCTTCTTGCTTGGTGCTGAGGCCTCGGCAAACGTCGTGTCTCCAACTTTCACTCTGAACATGAACCTGGATATAGGACAGAAAGGGTTAAAATGGGGTAATCAAGAACATACAAAACTCCTGTTTGCGTCAAAGACTTAAACAAATGAGTTAGACTCATGGTACCTCTACAGCTTATGATGCCTTGATTTTTTTTTTGTTTTGTTTTTTTAAGAAAAGACAGCAAGCAAAGAGAGGATGAAATGTGGCATTCCATCTCAGCTTAAAGGGATGAAAAGACAAGATAGATAAAGATGGTATTGTCTCCATCAGATCGTTACGAACAGATTTAACAGATAGCTGCTTTTATGAGGCTGAAATGTGTGACTGCAGAGGAAGTTAACCTCCGGACTCGGCAGGGAGATCTGCTTCAAATAGAAATGAAGGAGCCAGAACCTTGGGTCATGTGGTGGGCCTGCCTGCCCGGTGTTGATGAATTCGATGGAGTTTCCACTGCGCTGGCTGTACTCCATCAGCACAGACACTGGATTCTTCCCACCAGGCAGAGACCGGGACAGCGGCTGTCGAGGTCCTTCCCCTGGTACTTCGACGTTGTTCGACCCAAAGGTTCCTGACATATTTTCAACTGAACCCTGGTGAAGAGACGGGGGAAATAACTTGTTATATATAGTTATATTTATATAAAGAAATTATTTTAACAAAGTAAAAAAAAAAAAAAATCTCACGCTTGTGTCTGGAAGTATATCCAACATTTGGTCAACACCGGCAGCATTTGCCTCCTCCAGCGGACCTTGTCCTCCCTGAATCTCTCCGATAAGGATGCGCAGCGCGGCGGCTGCAGCATCCTTCTTAGCAACCTTCTTACTGGAAGCTTCTGCGATGGGAAACAGCTTCCCATTCAACATCACCTGCATGCGAAATCTAACCAGAGCAAAAAAAAAAAAAAAAAAGAAAATCACAAACAGACACCCAAGCTATCGACATACAACACTTGAATGCATTACCAGACTGAAATGTTAATATTTTTTCAAGATGCTTTCTCAAAATTATGAGATCAGAATGATCACCTCAATCTGCTTGCATAGTAGTTTTATCTATAGCTTCCATAGAAACAAGTTGCTGATGTTGGCTTCTGGCTTTTTAAACATGGTATTGCATCGTTTCACAGTTCTGTTTGTGGAGTAACAGTAGCTTTGTTTCAAAATCACAACTCTTATCTACCAAAATGGACTGGGATTTCATGATAGAGGCTGACTTTTTTATTTTGTTTGTGAAATACCAAAATAGAGCAGGCTGGGTGTATTGCTTGCTATTTTTAAAACAACTAGTTTCATAAACCTATGAATTTGATGTTGAAAAAGGAGTGAAATAGCCCTTTTTGAGTGTGCATTTAGTGAGCAAGTCAAGAACAAAAATACTAGTGGGTAAAATGTAACAAAAATAAAATCAAGGAAAGGTGTGCATTATTGCTGTTTTCTCCATAAGGAAACTTAAAAAAGAGGGGGGGGAAAGCCTGAAAAGTATAAACATTTTTCTTTATTTTTCATTCAAGACTATGTAAAAACCCTGAATATATGATTAACTGAAGACACCGGCTCCTATGATGAATAACAATTAAGTTGTTTTCATTCTTGGAAGCAGGCTTTCCCTCCAAAGATTTTCAGAGGTACTTCAAAGAGATAAACAAACGTAGGTGCAAACACAAAACTAAAATGATGGATCTCACATTGCTCCTGGTGATAACGAGCATCAATCCAGACCTTATTTTTCCAACTCTAACGCAGGCATATCCAAGTAAATAACGGATTATTCTTGCTAAAGGCGACATGCTCACTTAAAAGGTCGACTGACTAACCTCGGGTCATGAGAGGGTCCTGACTGGTCAAGGAGCTGGAACTCGCAGTTTTGGCCCAGATACTGCGCATACTCCATTAGGCCGCTGACAGGGTTCTTCAGCCTCACTTCCTGTAATTTGGCCCGCAGATTTTGAGGAGGGGGTGCAGCCACCGACACAGCGACGGTTCCCACAGCACCATCCTGCTGTTCTGCCATTTTCTTTGCGTCGGTCTGTCGCCGGATTGCATTGAGGTACTCTGGGATTTCATCAGAGGCCCAAAGTTGCTCGCCAGGACCTTTGTCCTCACTCAACAACACAGGCAGCTATGGAAATGAGGAACAAAGGGTTAGGTTTTAGTTTATAAATTTAGTCAAAATTAACTAAAATCTACTACTGGGCAAAATGAAACAGCTGTGACATAACTTGAAACTTGTTTTAAGAGGGAGAGGCAATGTTTTGCTTTGGTCTCTCTAATTTTCCACAGGATCAACTTATCAGCATTTAACCTTTCAACAGAACCTCACAATAGAAACTCTGGAATATTCCTTGAAAGTAAAAATATAACAATGTTAAAAAGGATTGATCTTGTCGTACCTCAAAACTTTGACTTTGCTCTGGCAGCAAATCCTCCAACAGTGGCAAAGGCTCAAGTCCTGGTACAGGAGGTAAGGTCGATAGGAAATCGGCGCTTGCAGTATCCTCCTCTTTAAAGATTTCCATTCCCATATGACTCCCAAAAACCGAGGCACTCTTTGCAATTTTTAAGCTCCTTTCCATCCTCTCTTTGCGGTGTGCAGAAAGCATCCATTTTGGAGGAGTGACGTCGCTATCCCTATTGACTTCACCTTGCTTCTCCAAAGCGTAAAGTGTGGGGTTGATCTGCTTGGCATTTTTAAGACCCAGATTTTTGGCTATGACAAGAGCAGTTGCCTCTCCTACACCTAGAAGAAATTGTAAAACCTGCTCTTTGCTGTTTGCCATGATGGGACAAGTAGCCTCCTGATGGGTGCAGCTGGTTGTGTTTGGACGATCTTTTTCGTTCTGACTTTCTGCCGCAGACTGAGCTTTTTCAGAGTCAAAAGACTCTGAAGACGAGCTGTAAGAAGAATTTGATTCTGTATCGGAGTCCTCTTCTTTGACCTGCCCCTTGATTTCCTTTTCTGGGACAGCTTCTGTTTCAGCTGTTCGTGGATGTTCTGGACCAAAATACAGATATGAAGCTGGAGTTTTGCTGTCAGAGACGTAATCTCCTTCCGCCCTGTACAAACTCCACAGAGGAGGTAGCACTTCTTGCTTATAAGCTCTGTGTGACCGCTCCAAAGAGTAGAGAGCCTTGTTTACTGTCTTTTTGGGTAAATGGATTCTTCTAGCTAATACTTTAGCAGAGATCCTCTCACCTGTCTTCAAAGCAGCCAAAGCTCTGTGCACCTGCTCCTGTATATCTGGCGTAAAAGTGATATTAACTCTTTCGAACCTCGACTCTGTCGAGCTGCTGGGGAAAGGGTATCTATCAAACCTCTCTCTACCTCTGCTAGACTGATCTTGTTGAAGAGACAGATTCTGAAAACGGTCACAGAGAGACTCTGTCTGGGGCCAACATTGTCTGTTGGATGACTGATTGTAGCTGGTTCTGCCTTGAAACTGGTTTTGATTTTGTAATCGAGGGCCCAGGGCCCCTCCAGTTGCTCTTGGACCTGAAGAGTATCGAAAAATCTGGTTTGGGCTGAAGCCCCCTCGACCTCTAGGACTGCTGCCTGGGTTTGAATGTCTAATATAGCCTGATGGTGCCTGGTATGGAGAACTAGGTGGCCTGCTGAATGGTGAGCCCCCGCCTCGTTGGCTGGATCTAAACTGTGGCGCCTCGGTGCTCTGTCCTCTTAGAAACTCTGCTTGTTTGCAAAGGAAGGAATTTGGAGCTGGGCTGCCGCCCTGACCTTGGTTATGTATGTAGTCAGAAGCAGCAGCCAATCTAATGTGGCTTGGTTCAGGGGGAGCCGATGGGTGCAGAGGACGTGGCGGCTGAGGGGCCCCTCCAGGATGGTTGTAGTAATTTAGGTTTTGGATCAGATCGGGGTTCTCTCCATGAAAAAATTGGGCCTGAACTGGTCTGTAGTAGTTCTCCTTGGCCTGTAGGTGGGGAGGTGGGCGCCTGTAGAATTGTTCTTTGTAAGGCCCTCCTCTACCTCTGCTCATAGCGCAGGGGTTGAGCTAAAAAGGGGGGCCGGAGCAGCTCTCTGTTCAGCTTAAGGATCACGCCAAGCACTTGGATTCCAACAGAAATCACAGAAGATGGAGCCTTGGCTCAGGATGGACACACGCTGGAAGTGAAAAACAAAGTCAGAACAGACATAATAAGTAGAAAGGTTAAAAGAAACCATCACGTCAGTGAGCAACCCTTCAGTCTGCTTAAGTGTCATTGGACAAGTCGGACACCCTACACTCCAAGGGCACCACTGCTGTCCTGAAATGCAGCACACCACAGAGTGGATAATCTGAGGAGGTTTAAACATAGACAGTTGAAGAGTATATGCAGGGGTTAATCTGTACTGCATTTATTTTCATATCATAACACAGTAAGTCAGCAAAGAGACTGCAGAGGGACATGTCATCATTCTGTGTCACGCTGAAAGGTAATCCTGAGGTGAAAGCGAATGGTTTAATAATTCAAAACTGCTTGTAGCAGCTTTTTATTATTGCTAGCATTATAAACTAATGCTGCGGCTTGAAATCTGTAATGGAGACTCAGAGAAACATAACAGATAATCCAGCAACTTTTCATTTTCTGTACAGACACTTTATTTCTCTACCTCGAAACAAACACCGGGGATTATGATCTGAATTTCAAATTGCACGGTTCGGATTTTTATAAACATCGATTCCGCGTCCGGTGTCATACCCGACAACACTCAATGATGTCTGCATCAGCCAGCGACAACAAGAGGACACCCAATACTGAGTCAGGTTTCATCGCCTGTGGTGTGGTCAGCACCGAGCCCAGCAGGCCCATAGTAATGGAGCACAATGCAGTGTGTTGGTTCATCAGAGTAACAAGCAGCGACAGGGGGGGGGGGGGGGCCGGGCGCCGGGGGGCCAAATAGGGGCTGGGGTCGCC